TGGGACCCCGCTCGTCACAGGCGTCCACTGTGATCCCTCTTCACGTACCATGATCGTTGTTCCCCTCCCGTCGGTATTCCCTGTCCATTGCAGTGCCCTCCCTTTTAAACATTCGCCTGATCCTCCAGCTTCTGCATTAATCTCTTGTGGGGAACTGTGTCAAAGGGCCCTTTCCCCTGCAGTCTGGGAAAACGCAATCAACCCACCCCTCTCTCTCGTGTCTTACTTTGTTACCTTGTCATAAAACCCAGAAGGTTTGTGACACAGGATTTGCCTTCCATGAACCCATGCGGGTTTTTTCATTTATAATCTTGTTTCCGTTCCAGGTTTCCACCACTCTCCTCCTGATAATCTTCTCCATGACTTTGCACACAATACATGTCAGAGACACAGGTCTGTAGTTTAGTGCCTCATTTCTGTTTCCTTTTTAAAATATGGGGACTACATTTGCTGTCTTCCATTTCTCAGGTATTTTGCCCAGTTTCAAGGGATGTGTTGAAGATTGTGGTTAGGGGCACACAAGCATCTCTGCTCCTTCTCTAAGGACCCATGGGGAGATGTTGTCTGGTCCCATCGCCTTTGAGGTATCAAGGTCACTTAGCAGCTTCTGCACTCCTCCTGGGTTTTGTTCGTATGTCATCCAACACTTGTTGGTATATTCCCTCTTGATGTTCCCTTCTGTGCTGTCTTCCCAAAGCCCTTCCTGTCTCTACTGTAAAAACTTCCTTAAATCTCCTGTTTAGCTCCTCACATACCTCCTGATCATTTCTTGTTTAGTTCTCCACCTTCTGTCCCTCAGTCTGATCACCTGGTCTTTGACTGTTGTCTTCCTCCTGATGTGGCATACAACATTTTTTCGGGTCAGTCTTGATTTTTGATGCTATGTTATTTTCATACTGTTGCTGGGCCTCCCTCCTTACCAGTGCATACTCGTTCCTGGCTCTGTGACTGATCTCCCTATTTTCCATTTTTTTCCCTGCCTTCTGTACTTTTTCCATTCTCTATTGCACTTTGTTTTGCCCCCTTTTAAAACCGTCGGGTAAACCAGGGGCTCTTTTCTGGTCTTCCCATTGTTTCTGTTGCCCTTGGGAATAAACCTTTCCACTGCCTCCTTGCATTTTGTTGTTACATATTCCATCATTTCATTTACTGGCTTTCCTGCCAGTTCTCTGTCCCACGGAACCTCCTGCAGGAAGTTCCTCAACCCTATGTAGTCCCTCTTTTTATAGTAAGGCTTTTCCCATTCAACTCCTGTTACTCTCTCCACTTGCAACCTTTACTATGTATTCAAAGCACAGAACCACGTGGTCACTAGCTCCTTGGGACTCTCATATGTGATGTCCCTCAATGTCTGAACTGCCCAGGGTGAACACAAGGTCCCCAATCTTGCTGGTTCATCCTCCCCTCTCACTCTGGTAGTGTCCTTACATGTTGGTGCATGAGGGTTTTCCAGCACCACATTAACATCTTGGCCCCTCCTTGTTTCAGGACCCCCTGTGGGCTTCAGGTTTTCCCAGTCAATCTCCCTGTGGTTGAAATCCCCCATAACCAGCAACTTTGCTCTGCTGGAGTGAGCTCTTCTGCCCCTTCAGCAAGTGTGTCCACCATTGCTCTGTTGCTCTCTTCATATTCCTCTTTGGCCTCCTGCAGTTCTGTGGTGGATTATACATCACTGCAATGACCACCTTGTGCTCCCCGAACCCGAAGTATACCTACTCTGTTTTCCCTTTCTCCTGTCTCGTCTATGCCTTCCCATTTTCCCCGAATTTCCATCGTTTTTTTTACGAGCAGAGCAAACCCCTCCTTTCCCCTCTGCCCCCTTCTATCTTTCCTCATGATCTGGGATCCTGGTGGGAAGATGGCATCTGTTATTGTCTCTGGAGTTTTGTTTTTGTAACTGCTATGAGTCTGGGGGCTTCTCATTGATTCTTTCTTGCCATTCCTCATATTTATTCGTTAATCCATCAGCATTTGTGTACCAAACCTTCAACTTCTGTTCTAATACTGTAACTGTGGTCCTGGGGGAATATTGGGGTTGGGAGAGCAGGAGCCCTGGTGGGGCCTGTGGGGGGGGTTGCAGTGGAGGTGGAGGAAGAGCTCCCATAGGGGGTTGCTGTAGGGAAGGGTTTGTGGTGCGGGGGGTGGGAACAGAGGGATCGGTGGGTGATGGTTGGGTTATTTGGGTTGTTTCAGTTGCCTTGGGGTGTAGTGGTTGGAGTCCTTCTGCAGGTGTTTCTGGGGGGTGTCCTTGTCCTTCCACCTGTTCCTGGGTTATTCTGCTCCCCCTTTTTCATTTCCTCCCCTTCCTCCTTTTCGTTTTTGACTCTCTCTTTCAGTATCATCCTTTCCTCCTGTATTTTTGTCTCGATCGAGGTACAAAACTCATGAACTCCTGTTTGCCTCTCAGCCATGCAGGATCATGATTTGGGTTGATTCTGCCTTGAAAATTACTTTGAGAGGCCGATTTCTTTTCTTTTGTGAACCACCCATTCTCAGAAAA